GGACCCTTTCTTTCTAACATTATCCGCCGAAATTGTCGCAAACCCTATTTCTAGCCTGTTCAACCTCTCTTTCGTAATGTCTGAGATCCCCAGAGATTGGAAAGCTGCCGTGGTCATCCCCCTCTTCAAAGGGGGTGACACTCTAGATCCAAACTTTTACAGACCTATATCCATCCTGCCCTGCCTTTTCGAAAGTATTTGAAAGGCAAGTTAACAAACAGATCACCGACCATTTCGAATCCCACCGTACCTTCTCCGCTATGCAATCCGGTTTCCGAGCTGGTCATGGGTGCACCTCAGCCACGCTCAAGGTCCTAAATGATATTATAACCGCGATCGATAAAAGACAGTACTGCGCAGCCGTCTTCATCGACCTGGCCAAGGCTTTCGACTCTGTCAACCACCGCATTCTTATTGGCAGACTAAATAGCCTTGGTTTCTCTGACTGCCTCGACTGGTTCACCAACTACTTCTCAGATAGAGTTCAATGTGTCAAATCGGAGGGCCTGTTGTCTGGACCTCTGGCCGTCTCTATGGGGGTGCCACAGGGTTCAATTCTCGGGCCGACTATTCTCTGTGTATATCAATGATGTTGCTCTTGCTGCTGGTGAAGCTAGGATCCACCTCTATGCGGACGACACCATTTTGTATACATCTGGCCCTTCATTGGACACAGTGTTAACAAACCTCCAAACGAGCTTCAACGCCATACAACACTCCTTCCGTAGCCTCCAACTGCTCTTAAACACTAGTAAAACTAAATGCATGCTCTTCAACCGAACGCTGCTTGCACCCGCCCACCTGACTAGAATCACTACTCTCGGCGGGTCTGACCTAGAGTATGTGGACAACTACAAATACCTAGGTGTCTGGTTAGACTGTAAACTCTCCTTCCAGACTCACATTAAGCATCTCCAATCAAAAGTTAGATCTAGAATCGGCTTCCTATTTCGCAACAAAGCCTCCTTCACTCATGCTGCCAAACATGCCCTCGTAAAACTGACTATCCTACCGATCCTTGACTTTGGCTATGTCATATACAAAATAGCCTCCAACACTCTAATCAGCAAATTGGATGTAGTCTATCACAGTGCCATCCGTTTTGTCACCAAAGCCCCATATACTACCCACCATTGTGACCTGTACGCTCTTGATGGCTGGCCCTCACCACATATTTGTCACCAAACCCACTGGCTCCAGGTCATCTATAAATTACTGCTAGGCAAATCCCTGTCTTACCATAGCTCACTGGTCACCATAGCAACACCCACCCGTAGTCTGCGCTCCAGCAGGTATATCTCACTGGTCATCCCCAAAGCCAACACCTCCTTTGGCCGCCATTCCTTCCAGTTCTCTGCTGCCAATGACTGGAACGAACTGCAAAAATCTCTGAAGCTGGAGACTCTTATCTCCCTCACTAAATTTAAGCGTCAGTTGTCAGAGCAGCTTACCGTTCACTGCACCTGTACACAGCCATTCTGAAATTAGCCCAAACTACCTCATCCCCATATTGTTATTTATTTTGCTAATTTGCACCCCAGTATATCTATTTGCGCATCATCTTTTGCACATCAATCATTCCAGAGTTAATATGAAATTGTAACTATTTTGCACTATGGCCTATTTATTGCCTTACCTCCATAACTTACTACATTCGCACACACTGTATATATATTTTCTTTTTGTATTTTGGACTTTATGTTTTGTTTACCCCATATGTAACTCTGTGTTGTTGTTTTTATCGCACTGCTTTGCTTTATCTTGGCCAGGTCGCAGTTGTAAATGAGAACTTGTTCTCAACTGGCTTACCTGGTTAAATAAAGGTGAAATCAAAAATCAAAATCAAAAATTAAAATATTCTATAAAAAATATTTTGAGTGGCAAAGACTCCAGTGTTCATACATAATTCATAGATTCACCAAACATCTATTATTATTCTATGTTTCATTATTCCTGGTATATACTACTGGTTAAGATTGCAGACAGAGCCCAGAGAATGGGATGATGTAATATTGAATTAGTCATATTTTGATAAGGTGCATGCATGGGGATGTCCACGTCACCCAGAGATACGGCCATGCTGTAGAGATACACTTAGCGGACTGAAACTGCACTGTTGTAGACATAATACAGCTAGTGCTATCTAGACTTGCGCTGGCAAACAAATCCAGTACATTAGCTACCTAAATGTGAAGTAAACTCAACTGAGGAGTAATAGAGAATGGAGACTTTTAAATAACTTGGAAACGTGCAGGATACCTCTTTCCGGTTTCCCTGACTTCCGTTTTTTTTATACTGTGTTATGCTTGTTTGCGTAGCACTCCTCACAGGCCGTTTCTCCCATTCTTCTCTGCAGAACCTCTCAAGTACTGTCAGGTTGGATGGGGAGCGTTGCTGCACAGCTATTTTCAGGTTTCTCCAGAGATGTTTGATTGGGTTCAAGTCTGGGCTCTGGCTGGGCCACTCAAGGACATTCAGAGACTTGTCCCAAAGCCACACCTGCGTTGTCTTGGCTGTGTGCTTAGGGTCGTTGTACTGTTGGAAGGTGAACCTTCGCCCCAGTCTGAGGTCCTGAGTGCTCTGGAGCAGGTTTTCATCAAGGATTTCTCTGTACTTAGCTCAGTTCATCTTTGCCTCGATACTAGCTAGTCTCCCAGTTCCTGCCACTGAAAAACATCCCCACACCATTATGCTGCCACCCCCATGCTTCGCCGTAGGGATGGTGCCAGGTTTCCTCCAGACGTGACGCTTGGCATTCAGGCCAAAGAGTTCAATCTTGGTTTCATCAGACCAGAGAATCTTGTTTCTCATGTCTGAGAGTCTTTAAGTGCCTTTTGGCAAACTCCAAGTGGGCTGTCATGTGCCTTTTACTGAGGAGTGGCTTCCGTCTGGCCACTCTACCATAAAGGCCTGATTGGTGGAGTGCTGCAGAGATGGTTGTCCTTCTGGAAGGTTCTCCCATCTCCACAGAGGAACTCTAGAGCTCTGTCAGAGTGACCATTGGGTTCTTGGTCACCTCCCTGACCAACTCCCTTCTCCCCCGATTGCTCAGTTTGGCCGGGCAGCCAGCTCTAGGAAGAGTCTTGGTTGTTCCAAACTTCTTCCATTTAAGAATGATGGAGGCCTCTGTGTTCTTGGGGAACTTCAATGCTGCAGAACTTTTTTGGTACCCTTCCCCAGATCTGTGGCTCAACACAATCCTGTCTCGGAGCTCTACGGACAATTCCTTCGACCTCATGGCTTGGTTTTTGCTCTGACATGCACTGTCAACCTTATTACATTTACATTTACATTATTTAGCAGACGCTCTTATCCAGAGCGACTTACAGGAGCAATTAGGGTTAAGTGCCTTGCTCAAGGGCACATCGACAGATTTTTCACCTAGTTGGCTCGGGGATTAGAACCAGCGACCTTTCGGTTACTGGCACAACGCTCTTAACCACTAAGCTACCTGCCACCCCTTATATAGACAGGTGTGTGCCTTTTCAAATAATGTCCAATCAATTGAATTTACCACAGGTGGACTCCAATGAAGTGATCAATGGAAACAGGATGCACCTGAGCTCAATTTCGAGTCTCATAGCAAAGGGTCTGAATACTTATGTAAATAAGGTATTTCTGTTTTCAAGTTAATACATTTGCAAACATTTCTAAAAACCTTTTTTGTCACTTTGTCATTATGGGTTATTGTGTGTAGATTGCTGGGGAAAAAAACACACATATTTAATCAATTTTAGAATAAGGCTGTAACGTAACAAAATGTGGAAAACGTCAAGGGGTCTGAATACTTTCCGAAGGCACTGTAAGTCAAGGACAGAATATGGCTCATCTGTAGACCAGAGTTGGCTGGTTGGAGGAGCTATAGGAGGACATGCTTAGTGTAATGGCTGGAATGACATAAATGGAACGGAGTCAAACATGAGTTTCATGTTTGATACCTTCCCATTTATTCAAATCCAGACATTACAATGAGCCCATCCTCCTATAGCTCCCCCCACCAGCCTTCACTGCTGTAGACACACCTCCACCTTCATTTATTCGAGCTCCACCTCAAACGAATAGTGGGTGAATCTCATGCTATTCTCATGCTTAAATTCAAGGTCAGAATACACATAGAATGAAAAGCCATAAAAAGGGAATAACGTTCCATTTACGGTGTGCTTAACTGGGAGTCGGAATCTGGGCCTATGTGCTGCCTTGCCACCTGAACACCTCAACGATCTAGGACCAGGCCAGTCCTCTAGTCAAGTAGGCATGAAAAGACAATGTTGTTTTATTTGTAAAATGCTTAGCAACAGATGTAGCTCACCACTGTTGTTTATGTGAACTCACCACTGAGTTCACATTGTCAAGTCTAGTGAGTCACACACTATGTACTGTATTTTCTTGAGACAGCGGCTTGTGGGTTGATGTTGATCAGTGATGTATTGGGGTGGGTAAACTCTAATCACCGGTCGCAATGAAAAAAGTAACGCTCCCTATATTTTCAATGCTTTTTCCGTGAAGAAAAAGGTATCTTAACTGTGTTTACTTGCGTTTACCCTCCTCTACACCACTGATGTAGATTGTAGTCAGCGGATATGAGTCAGAAAGAATATTGAGTCTTAAGAGTGGTCATCACTGAGTGAGAAAAGCTCTCTGAAACATGAGCTGTTGATTGTAGCAGCAGGGAGCACTCTGGTAACCTGAACTAACAGATGGTCTGGTCACAGGACAGATGACAGTTGACCTCTATGCTGACACAAACAGCATCATGCTTACCCACAACAACATAGCATCATCCTCTGAAACACTTACCAGTCCTCACTACAGCCCCAACACTGACGGACATGTAATTTCACCCTTTGACAGCAAGGGGACTCCACAGACAGCTATTATGGTCGTTTAGACTTGTAGATCATGGCACAGTGTGAAGAGCTAGTAGCTGTTAGAACATACTGAGGGTGTTTCTTATTGATCTCTCTGATGTGACTGCAGACACAGAGTCTGCCACATTACCCATGACCCTCCAGCACTCTGTCTGTCCAATTCCCAGGGGTCAAGCTGCTCAAGAGCAAATCAAAAGTATCCTTCCCTGAGGAGGAGGAAGAGAAAGAGGAGGGGGAGGAGGAAGAGGAGGAGGAGAAAGAGAAAGAGGAGGAAGAGGAGGAGGAGGAAGACAAGCAGAATAACTAGGATCCAAAGTGAAGAGGAACACAAACTGTAGAACCATGTTTCTGATGGTTCAAAGTTCATACACATGACTGGGTTAAGAACTCTTGGTTAGAAATTGAGCTAAACTTGATCAGGTTATCATTTCTAATCTGATAATCCATTTTATTCAGCCTTCATTGTTGAGGTCAAGAAAGGACAATTTAATTTCTCTGCACTGCATCTCAAACTCTTCTTTTAAGTCTTGGTTATGTATGGTTATGTATGGTTGATTATCGTTAGATATTGTAATAAGAGAGTATATGTGGGGAACATAAACAGCAATACTGACTGATATGCAGTGAACGTTCACTGGAAATATACAGATTTTAGTTTTTATTTTCTTATATTTTGGGCTTCTCACATTGTCATCTCATAATGTAAAAACACTTGCTGATATCTGATATTTCACATATATTTTTGTAATATTTTATACTGAAACTGGGCTTTTGTACATACAGTGTAACAGACTTGTGTACTACAGGACTCTGAGGTACGAACAAAGACGTCCTGCAAACAAGGGGCTTCTCTGGAGTTCTGGGTTGTCTTAAGTCCTAATAAAGTTACTCATTTTATCAACACTTGGCGAAACCTGTATGTTTCTTCATCCTTCATTATTGTATAAAAATGACAAACAAATGTCATTTCTAAAGCCTCATGGACACTTAATATAACACCTATTGCCAAACCCTCTCTTCTGAATGGCAGGCAGCATTATTTTAGTAGGCTAATTGTTATCTCAGCAAATTAATTATGTGAAGATTCCATAACAAAAAATAAAACATTTTACCCATACATGTAGTCAGTGTATTTCTTGTGTCAATAAAGGGAGTGTAATTGTATGTAAACAGCATTACAAGGGGAAAGGAATGCAACAGCACTCCCAAGTGGGTAATATTAAGGCACATTAGTGGCCAACGTACCAATATTACCTCGAGTAAAATGTGTGTCTCATGAGATCAACAGAGAACACTATCGTGATTGTCCTATTCTCACGCTTGCAGTCTAATATAGTGAGTGTGTACTGTGCAGACCCATCTGAAAGAGAAGGAAGTTCATAAAGACAGAATGAAAATAGACAAAAACTACTTGCGGTGCAAAGTGGAGCATGAAGACCCCTATCTTTAATAAATAACAATAAAATCAATCAGAACAAATTTACAATAAAAAAACAAAACAAACAAATATAATGCCTATTGAATCAGGAAGTGGCAGCGTTGTTGGGTAGCCTATCAAAATCAAGGGCTCTGAAGAGACTCCTCCCCCTCCTCAAGGACTGGCCCAGGGCCTTCTCCTGCAAGCAACAACAGTTACCATGACAACACAGCATCACTCAGTTGTAACCTTGACAACCCTCCACTCTGCAGCTATCTCTTCGACATTTGGTTACAGATGGCCGTGACTGACAATACAATTATAGAGACGAGAAAAATACCACATAGCTATAGCCTACTGACAGGACAACAGCATAGTTAAAAGGCATGACTGTTGGTTTCACTGTGCTATTGTGCTGTTTTGTATTGTGTTGTATTGTATTGCATTTTGTTGTGTTGCGTTATGTTACATTCCACTACATTATGTTGTATTGTTGTATTGTACATTCTATCGTATATTGTGTCGTATATCATATCGTATATAGTATCATATGATATCATTTTGTATCATATCATATTATACCGTATCATATCGTTAGCTAACATTCCTACCGTTCCATGGTAGGTGTTCAGGAGAGATGGAACCAGGTGATGTTGTCTCTTTATCCTCAGACATGGACAGAGGTCTGTGAGGACTGTGGTCCAGCTCTGAGTCCTCCTGGGAAGAGTTATTGTTTGTGTTGTTCATCAGTTCATTGAATGGCTCTGATTGGAGCTCCTGGCTGTGTCTCTCAGGCCTGGTGTGAGTCAACGTAACCTCTGTGTTCATCAGGGACTCCTCCTCTGGGTCAGGAGTCAACTCAGCTCGCTCTTTCCTCGCCAACTCTGAGGAAACGAGATAACACAAGCAAAGGGAATGAACATGTAATGTCATGTCATAGTACACTGAAAGAAGGATAGGTATTCAGGTGACTGAAGAAGAAGAGCAACAATAACAACAACAACAACAAGACAACTATACCTTGTACAGAGAGCTCCTTCCATCGGTCTTTGTTGTGTTGGATGACCTCTGCCAGTGTGTGTCTGACCCGTTTCAGGTCGATGCCAGTCAGGCTATAGTCTGTAGTGAGCCCCTGGTCAACCCCCTGGCTGGACCCTCGACCACTGTGTCTCTGGACTGACTCCACCACCGTCACCGACCCACTACCTGTCAAACTGAACCAACAAGCAACATAAAACAGAAACTCTGTCAAATTACGTCCATTCTGTCAAATATATGTTGACGCCGTAAGTCAGAATGACTCTGACACCAAGTCTTTGTGAGGCTGTCCTAATATGGACATATTGTATAGAACAGAAAACACTTGAGTAATACTTGGTTGCTTATTCCACAGCTTAGATCGACCATAGAGATAGAAGATAGAGAAATTCTGAGTGTGGGTGATACTGGTAGGCATTTTGAATACATCAGACATGCTAAACTGGGAAAACTGTAAGCTGCGAAAACTGTGATTTTCCAGAGTTTATAATATTGGGAATGTGTCTCACCTTGACCTGCGGACGCCAGTGTCGTGTGACTTTAAGGTATCCTCTATGAGAGGTGTAATGATCTTCTCTGTCGTGTCCACCAACACAGAGAACGTGGGTTCTACTATGAAGTCAATGAACCCTGGGAGACAGACAGAGAAACTGATGATTGTACTTTTCAGAGAAACAGGAGAAAAAACAGTCTGTGATGTTACAGCAAATGTAATTTATGATGACAGGCAGTGAAGATTCCCATGCTTTATCGTAGCAAGGGAAAAATATCTGATAGTTTCTCAAATGTCCACATGGCGGCGCATTTGAGCTATGGACTGTCTGAGGACACAAACCCATCAGAGCTGTATGAAACAGCTCACAGGGAGGACAATAATAGGGTGTGACGCTCACCTATTTGTGACTGGGCAATCATGGTCGTTTTTCGATCACACAGAGGAGAGAATGGCAGCCCTAACTCAACCTCCTTATCGCCCTGTAAGAAACAACAATACCAGCCTTCATAACCATATCAATGCAGAAGGGCAGGAGCGGCTCTACTGTATAATGTAACATGATTCACTACAATACCCATAGTGCTCTGTGTAACATATCCAGTTGATCCAAGTGAATATATTCCTAAATCTATTGGAATGGTATCCCATATCCTTAGCAATACAGGTGTCAGAAGTGGGATACATCCATAATACAGTGGTCAAGTTTCCCTCTCCCATAGTATCTGTCAGGGACTGTAAGGTAGGACTATGTTTGTACTGTACCTGTCTGAAGAACTCCTCCATCAGGGCCTGTGTCCATCGGTAGTGCAGCTTCCAGGCCTTGGCTGGGTGGCTGATGTCAGCTGCATGCAGCATCAGAGACAGGGCTTTAGCCTTGTCTACTCTGTAGAAACAACAGTACATCAGCTAACACAAATACTGAGACACTGATACACTAAGACAGACAGACAGACAGACAGACAGCATCAGAGATACAGTAGGGCTTTAGCCTGGTCTACTCTGTCAATCAACCACACAGACAACAGTACATCAGATACACACAAGACAGACAGACAGACAGACGCACACACACACACACACACACACACACACACACACACAGACACACACACACACACACACACACACACACACACACACACACACACACACACACACACACACACACACAGGGACATCATACAGGGGGACACACACACACACACAGGGACATCATACAGGGACACATAAAGGATTGAGATGAAAGGCATGGTCCAGAGAGCTGGGGTTAGAGGTTAGGGTTTAGGGGTCAGGGCTAAGGGTTCAGGGGTTAGGGGTCATAGGTCAGGGTCCTGAGACAGTCCACTCACCCCTCGGGCTGCTGCAGGGCATTCCTCATGGTTTTGATCTGCTGGAAATGGCAGGACATGTCTGTACTCATCACCATCTCAATCACCAGGGTCCGCAGTTCTCTGACAGACAGACAGGTTAGAGTTAGGTTAAAGAAAAATGGCAGGACATGTCTGTACTCAATCATCAGGATCCGTAGCTCTCTGGAAACACACACAGGAGAACAGGGTCAGTTTCCACCTAGCCTCCACTCCAGCTGTTCTTGGATTCTCCAGGACAAGAACACAGTGTGATGTCTTGCACCGCTTCTTCCGACAAACCTCAGTCATTAGCATATCATTTTCATACAGTACCTACTGATCGGGTGAGCTGTGGGACTTTCCATAATCACTGAATCACAGCCGGAAGATGACTAACCACCCCTCAGAGCCTGGTTTCTCTCCAGGTTTCTTCCTAGGTTCCTGTATTTCTAGGGAGTTTTTCCTAGCCACCGTGCTTATACATCTGCATCGCTTGCTCTTTGGGGTTTTAGGCTGGCATAACCAATATCTTTGAGTGTTTTTGTTTTTCCTATAACTCCCTCAAGAGCTCTACTTGCTGAGTCGGCCAGGGCAGATGTGCCATATAAAGGTCATACATTACATGACCAAAAGTATGTGGACACCCCTTCAAATGAGTGAATTTGGCTATTTCAGCCACACCTGCTGCTGACAGGTGTATAAAATCAAGCACACAGCCATGCAATCTCCATAGAAACATTGGCATTAGAATGGCGTTACTGAAGAGCTCAGTGACTTTCAACGTGGCACCGTCATAGGATGCTACCTTTCCAACAAGTCAGTTCGTCAAATTTCTGCCCTGCTAGAGCTGCCCCGGTCAACTGTAAGTGCTGTTATTGTGAAGTGGAAACGTCTAGGCACAACAATGGCTCAGACGCAAAGTGGTAGGCCACACAAGCTCACAGAACGGGGCCGCTGAGTGCTGAAGCGTGTAGTGCGTAAAAATCGTCTGTCTCGGTTGCAACATTCACTACCGAGTTCCAAACGGCCTCTGGAAGCAACGTCAGCACAAGAACTGCTCGTTGGGAGCTTCATGAAATGGGTTTCCATGGCCGAGCAGCCGTACACAAGCCTAAGATCACCATGCGAATGCCAAGCGTTGGCTGGAGTGGTGTAAAGCTCGCCCCATTGGACTCTGGAGCAGTGAATCACGCTTCACCATCTGGCAGTCCGATGGACGAATCTGGGTTTGACGGATGCCAGGAGAACGCTACCTGCTCGAATGCATTGTGCCAACTGTAAAGTTTGGTGGAGGAGGAATAATGGTCTGGGGCTGTTTTTCATGGTTCAGGCTAGGTGCCTTAGTTCCAGCGAAGGAAAATCTTAACGCTACAGCATACAATGACATTCTAGTCAATTCTGTGCTTCCAACTTTGTGGCAACAGTTTGGGGAAGGCCCTTCCCTGTTGCAGCATGACAATGCCCCGTGCACAAAGTGAGGTCCATACAGAAATGGTTTGTCGAGATCTTGACTGGCCTGCACAGAGCCCTGACCTCAACCCCATTGAACACCTTTGGGATGAATTGGAACGCCAACTGCGAGCCAGGCCTAATCGCTCAACAGCGGTGCCTGACCTCACTAATGTTCTTGTGGCTGAATGGAAGCAAGTCCCCGCAGCAATGTTCCAACATCTAGTGGAAAGCCTTCCCAGAAGAGTGTAGGCTGTTATAGCAGCAAAAGGGGGACCAACTCCATATTAATACCCATGATTTTGGAATTAGATGTTTGATGAGCAGGTGTACACATACTTTTGATCATGTAGTTTGATTGATTGATTGATTGAATGTGACATATTCTATCTATCATCCAGGTTATATAATAGTCTTGCATTGACATACACCACACTACATTCGTATCCAAACCTAGAATCAAGGCTAAGTATCCCGGTTATGTTACATTTCTAGCCCCTTCGTTCTTTGAAGTGTTGATCTCAATCAATTAATCAAATGCATTTTATAAAGCCCTTTTTACATCAGCAGTTGTCACAAAGTACAGAAACCCAGCCTAAAACCCCAAAGACTGAGGATGTGAGCAGTCTTTCTTAACTCACCGCCAGTCATCTTTTGACAGGTTGACCAGTATGTTCATCTCATCTTCTTGCATAAGTCTGTAGGCAGCACTGACATGGTGGTTCTCCAGGACTGACCGGTCGTTGTACAGGATGGCCACCTCTGACCTGGATAGAGGAAGAGAAGGAGCAGAAGAAAGGGAAGAGAAGGTGTGATTATTCATTGTGCCACATGGGGCTTTCCAGGCTGGATTACTTTACCAGGTAGCCAACTTGTATGGAAACAGTACCCAGGTTGAAGCGACTTTAATTCCAACCAGGTTTGAAATGACGATAGTGATTATGATACGATAGCGATGGTAGCGATTTGAGATGGTAGCGATTTGAGAATTCCAGATTTTCCTGTTGAGAAACCTCATTTCAGTCTGGAGATTAGAACACATAATCACAGAGGGGGAGTTTGAACAATACCTTCATTTTCCATCTCACCACACAACAACCCTCACGTCTAACACACCAGAGGCCTTTCTGATCAATTGTTATTAGACTAGAAAGCCATGCAGAGGTTTAAACTAAATGAAGGGTTTAATCGCTCTCTCTCTCTTTCACGCTCACTCTCTCTTTTGTTGCTATCCCTTATCACTGAGGTCAATGCTGCAATATTGAGTATTCTTATTGTACACTTCACTTTAATGGATTCTTTAAATGGGTGCCTTTACCATTGGCATTCATTAGCCAGGGTCAGAGCAATACAGAGTCTGTCTGTCTGTCTGGGAGGCAAGTGATGTACTAAAAGTACAATACAGGGACATCTTCAGTTTAACATTGGTATTGGTAGGATGGAATCAAATGGAATGAATGGAAATTACAATAAATAATTATTGTTGAGTCATCACTCAGTCTATAAGGTCGATCACCAGTGGTACAGTAGTTAACATGCTGACCACACCGCTCGTGTTGCAAAATAAATGTACACATACATGTTATTCAATTATTGCACCCACACTGTTCATGTGCGTCAACGAGCATCTGCGTGGCCAGGCGCTAAAATAGAACTCAGTTCTATTTGTGACGCTCAACACGCTGCAAGTCCTGCCTCTCCCATCTCCTCATTGGTTTTTAGGAGCATCTACCCACGTGGGTGATTGAAAGATGAACTGATGTCTACGCTCCAGTCCAGTTGGTTGTAGTAATGTACCATAAAGTTGGTTGCCAACTGCCATATAAATTCCAAAGAAGAAGAAGAAGCCTGAAGGAGGAGAGAACTAGAAACTCACTCGGTTTATACTTTTATCTGTGGATTAATTGTCAGAGTAGAGGACCTTGCGCATTTCAGGTAAAATAACAACCCAATGTTTATATCCCAGGACAAATTAGCTAGCAACAGCAAGCTAGCTAGCTAAATTGCCATACATGTTTAATGGTTTTCGACCTATCCCGAAGTTAATATAGTTGGTTCAGAGTTTGTTTTGATATTTCAAAGTGTGTGTCCTGATCGCGTCTGGTGTGGGTGGACAAAATCAACATGCGCGCGTGTGGTCTGGTCAGCATTAGCTAAGGGTTGTTGTGTCAAACTTCAGGAATGAAAAGATCTACTGACAGTAGAATACGGACACACACACCTGGTCTGAATGTGAAAGTTGTTGGTTGTCCCAGTGTGTTCAAAGTCATGGATAGCTGCAGCAAACACCATGGCTAGGATGTCCAGTTCAGTGAGCCAGTGCTGTGAGTGAGAGAGAGATTGTAACAAGAAACACAATCGGAACCTGTCCTTTGATCTGTCTATGTTGCTGGGGGACAATTCATTGCACAAACGTGTGTGTGTGAGAGACTCACCATAATGCCAGTGTGGAGCATCAGATAGTGTGCCGTCTGTGTGACGTCAGCAGCGTGGATCAGGTTGTGGTAGGGGTTTCTGTGTTTGCTGTAGCCTACCTCTAGAGCCTCTACGAAGGACACCAGAGATGACACTGGTATCTGGTGAAGAACAGGGAGGTTAAGACACCAGAGATGACACTGGGATCTGGGTTAGAACAGGGAGGTTAAGACACCAGAGATGACACTGGTATCTGGTGAAGAACAGGGAGGTTAAGACACCAGAGATGACACTGGTATCTGGGTTAGAACAGGGAGGTTAAGACACCAGAGATGACACTGGGATCTGGGTTAGAACAGGGAGGTTAAGACACCAGAGATGACACTGGTATCTGGGTTAGAACAGGGAGGTTAAGACACCAGAGATGACACTGGTATCTGGGTTAGAACAGGGAGGTTAAGACACCAGAGATGACACTGGTATCTGGGTTAGAACAGGGAGGTTAAGACACCAGAGATGACACTGGTATCTGGGTTAGAACAGGGAGGTTAAGACACCAGAGATGACACTGGTATCTGGGTTAGAACAGGGAGGTTAAGACACCAGAGATGACACTGGTATCTGGGTTAGAACAGGGAGGTTAAGACACCAGAGATGACACTGGTATCTGGGTTAGAACAGGGAGGTTAATACACCAGAGATGACACTGGAATCTGGGGAAGAACAGGGAGGTTAGGCCTGCCTGATAAATGATAAGGATGGGACACACTCCCCCAAAAAATTATTTCAAAAATCAAGTATGTTCTGCCTTTTAATCAAAGATCACCATTTTAAAAAGACAGAAACAGAAGCCAGAGCTCAAAGTTTCAGCTAGATGAACAACAGGAAGGTGAATGGCTCCGTGCTGGGTCAGGGAGGGCCAGTTTCACCACAGACAACCACTAACACAGTGAGTTCCAGGCAACTGGAGCGACAGAAGTGAAATGTTATCACACACATCACTATACTTTTCAAATGTATAGTGCAGGGAATTACATCCCCAGAGCAGACTTCATTACAGAAAATATAACTTCTGCACACTCCTGCAATATACTGTATTACATCTGCACATTGTTTATTGTCCAAATTGTTATGTGTGCTGGAGTTATCTTTCCTACAATGAAGCTGGAGAGATAAAGAGATACACGTGTGGGGGCTTCGTGTACATGTACTGTTGCTTGTGTGCAAGCTTAACTCCTATTGTTTAATCAGACTAAGAGCAGAGCATGGCCCAGAACACTACTCTTCCTAAATCCAAATATGAGCATCATGCATTACACACGTTCACATTCACAATGAAAGAGCTGAGCTCCTCCAGATATTTTAATGTCCATTTAAAGCCTAACTGTCACATTGAATTCTAGGAACAGTATGACAGTATGGCTGTGAAGTACACAACCCACACGTGACTATCTGTAGGTGACTATCTATAGGTGACTATCTGTAGGTGACTATCTATAGGTGACTATCTGTAGGTGACTATCTATAGGTGACTATCTGTAGGTGACTATCTGTAGGTGACAATCTGTAGGCGACAATCTGTAGGTTACTATCTGTAGGTGACTATATATAGGTGACTATCTGTAGGTTACTATCTGTAGGTGACTATCTATAGGTGACTATCTGTAGGTGACTATCTATAGGTGACTATCTATAGGTGACTATCTGTAGGTGACTATATATGGGCGACTATATATACAGTAAGTGAATATATATATATATATATATATATATATATATATATATATATATATATATATATATATATATATATATATATACAGTAGGTGACTATCTGTAGGTGACTATCTATAGGTGACTATCTGTAGGTGACTATCTATAGGTGACTATCTGTAGGTGACTATATATAGGTGACTATATATGGGTGACTATATATACAGTAAGTGAATATATATATATATATATATATATATATATATATATATATATATATATATATATATATATATATATATACCTGGATAGGTATTTTACGTATCAGCTAACCACATCATATGTTATAGCAATCTGGTGCTCGACGGCACAGTCGATGAACCATTGTTTGATGCTAGCAACGTCTGAGCAGTGCAACATGACCTATCTATAGGTGACTATCTGTAGGTGACAGGGCTGAAGTGACAGAGATGTAAATATGTCTTGATCGGGTATTGATGGATTCACTTGGAAGGTGGGGCTACAAACAATATGACTTGGAATAGAGGGCCACTGTTGTATGATCTGTAACACATTACGGCTACATAAGATTACTGTGTGTCTCAGGCCCTGCTGTGTGTTCTGGGCCCTGCTCTTAGTTATGTCATGTAGTGTCATGTAGGGTTATGTAGTGTTATGTAGCCGTTATGACAGAGGGTTCAAGTAAAGTCCAACCATATGATCATATTAAAAGATCATCCTCACATTGGGATCAAAGCACAGTAACAGTTAGTGTTGGTGATATTCTCACCACTCATCTAACAGAGGACATGTACAATCTCTCATCTAAAACCAGACAGAGATGAGAACAGAGAACAGAACAGTGTCAGGTTGGAGTGTTAAACCATGTCTTCATGAGGCACCCAGAGGCCTGTGGTGTAGAACAGAGGACTGAGAGAGACATGCACACACACACGATACCAACGCACGCATGCACTCACAAACACACACACGCACACACGATACCAACGCACGCATGCACTCACAAACACACACACACACACACGATACCAACACACTCACACATGCATGCACAAACAGACACATGCACATACCCACATTTCAGGGACCCTTTTTGGCTCTTGAGCGCTACTTTCAGAATTACTGGTTTAAAAGTTTACAAAACCTCGGTTCAATCGCTCACACACACACAGATAGATGCACTCACACACACACACCCTGATGTTAACGTTCAAGAGAGAGACTGAAGAGAGACTAACCCTGAAGCGATTGATCAGATCATAGCGGGTGAGGAGTTCGTACACCAGGAACTTTAATGCGTGTTCACTGCTGGCCTCGTGGAGCGCAAACACATCAAAGGACCAGTTATCTACATCCTGTAAACAATCAGATGATGTCAGGGATGATGACAGCAAATAATTAAATAGAACACACATTGGGTTCTATAAAATAAAACATATTACTTATACACAATAACACATTCTGACATCATCTCTATGGATGTCAGAATAGGATGAAGTTATGATAAAGTCTAAACAGCTGTAAAGTCAGGTACATCTTGTACAGCTGTAATAAAGGCTGTATTCTGTAATCATTATGAATGATATGACACAGTTTATTATCCCTGTAATGTTTTAAAATGTCATCATTCCCATCTCAAAAAATTATATAAAATCACCAGGAATTCAGCTAAAATCATTGTAATTGAGGAAATCTGTTCCCAAATATGCCCACATATAAAGTGAAAGACGTGATCATGTCTCAATGTAATCAAGGTATGAAATGATTGTTATTTAAAAATTCAATCTCTTCTTGGGCTTACTCATGGTAAATTTGTAGTGTACAAAATGTGATTAGAATTATACTTCAGCCCCCGACCATCTGCTCTGACAAAAATCGGCTTGCCTACCCCTGCGGTATAGTAGGCATAATAATGGTAATATGATGAATCAAGCACCTTCAGAGTAGTGATGGCAGCTGGAGGGTACGTCAGCCCAGCCATGTTAGACGTCCGTCTGTACATCCTGAAGACAGATACACAATCATTAGGTGGTTACACAATAGAACTGCAATATGCCCAGCGGGCAAATCGGGTTGAAACAATGTTCGAATGATTAGTGGTTGTAAATATTTCATTTCAGTCAGTTTTGCCTGCTGTGGCAGCTCCTATACATTTACTTTGTATACATAGAAAACTGTACACACATGGACAACAAACAATGGCTGATGATTTCAATTGTATACTACCCATTACGGTATAAAAATGCTACAGTCTCATAAAGCCACAATACCTCAGTTTTCAACAATAACCAGTAACGGTGGGATCAACAGTAGTTACATTTAAAAAATCTAAAGTGTTGAAAGGGGTGAGGAGGAGGGATGAGACAGGGCTGTTAAATAACGCCAAAGAAAGACTGTATTTGGGCTTTGGAAACAGCAACAAAGAAAGGTGCGACATGTCTGAACCCAGCCAAGCTAATTAAAGAGAAGAGGGTTATGTCCCAAATGGCACCTTATTCTCTATGGGCCTTGGTCAAAAGTAGTGCACTATATAGGGAACAGGGTACAATTTGGAACTCAACCTACGTGTAGTTCATAATAAAGAAGAAGAAGAGGAATCTGGCATGCTGGGTATTGACTGTATTCTCCTCTCTCCTCTTCTCTGAGAATTTTTGAAATCATAGACCTGTTTTTCACAGGAGAATCTGGGCTGAAGAGACCATACTGTCTGACGGACAGATCTTACAACATTCTTAACATATGGAATTACAACACACATTTTATAACTCAAATTATACTGTTGGCCACTAAAGAAGAAACCATCAAAACGCATTAAGCATTAACCTATTAAGTTTGACTAATTTGAGAAATAAACTAAGAAATACAAATTCCAACTGTCGAACCGAGCATGAAATCTCAAATACCTGCATTGTGGCTTTCATTTTGTAATATTCAGCTCCAGGAGATAAAGATAGAGGATTGTTTCCAACAGGTGTCTATGGCACATTGAAATAGCCTGGTAGTTGCCATGGGAATAAGAGTGAGACACAGGCCCTAGCAGCAGCTCTTAAGGAGATTGAGACACTTTGCTGAATATTATGTTTATATATTCATGTTGGTGCCCACTGTAAGTAGGCAGTTATGCTCAAGAAAGAGTATGCACATTTCACTAATGTCCATATCTATTGACTGGCAGAATGTCAGTTATTCTTTCCTTCTAAGAGCAACACTACAACTAAAAGCCACCATTTATGTTTGTGCCCACTTAGTGGAAATAAGCAGGTTTTTAATAATAACCATTTTCTGTTAAAAGGCAGAATGACAGTTGTGTTTTCCTTTTAAGAAACAACACTACCTCTGAAGCAATTCATAGGAGCTTCTAATAAAGTGTTGATGGTTTGATGGTATGTTGTTTTTGTACTTATCTGTACTTACATGTCTCTGTATACTTATCAATATAAATATCCTACTGTAATTCTCTTATAGGTTTATTTTCCCATGCCTCATGAAAGTACAACCTCTCAACGAAGAAGAGAGCGTGTGTTTGTGTGTGTGTTTGGTTTTACTATCCTTGTGGGGACCAGAAGTCCCCACAAGGAATAGTAAAACAAGGAAAAAGGCTATTTTAGGCTTAGGGGTTAGAGTTACTATTAGGGCTACAAGTTACAGTAGGTTTATGGGGTTTAAGGTTAAGTTAAGGAAAACAGGATTTTGAATGGGAATCAATTATTTTTGTCCCCACAAGGACAGTAAAACAAACATGTGTGTGTACCTCTCGACGAAGATGCCAGCCTGCACGGCATGGACGATGCTCCTGAATCGTGGTTTCTCCTCGGGTCGCCTCCTGACCACACCCATCTTCCTGGTGAAGGTCGAGGCCAGCCAATCACGCACCTCCATGGGCACAGAGTCCGCCTGGATGTCACTGAGCTCATCCTCAGTGTCCAGAAGACGTCTGGGAGGGGGACATCAAGGGACAGAGTCACACTACAGGGCACTTGGAACACGTTACACAAATGTACCAGCACCATACTATCCTATACCTCATAAAGAATGAAAAGAAAGCAATACATAATAGTAAATAAGGTTATCCAAGCAATACTAATAACCCTAGAGAGCAGTAAAAATAATACAAATAAATCCAGAAAAATTAAACGGAAGGCGTTTGAACCCGATCTGGCACTAAGAGAAGATTACAGTGTGAGACTGACCTACACACAATCTGTATACATACAGTGCTATGAAAAAGTATTTGCCCCCTTTCTAATTTTCTCTACTTTTGCATATTTGTGATACTGAATGTTATCAGATCTTCAACCAAAACCTAATATTAGATAAAGGGAACATAAGTGAACAAATAACACAACAATTACATATTTATTTCATTTATTTCATAAACAAAGTTATGCAACACCCAATTCCCCTGTGTGAAAAAGTAATTGCCCCCTTACACTCAATAACTGGTTGTGCCACCTTTAGCTGCAATGTCTCCAACCAAATGCTTCCTGTAGTTGTTGATCAGTCTCTCACGTCGCTGTGGAGGAATTTTGGCCCACTCTTCCATGCAGAACTGCTTTGACTCAATGACGTGTGGGTTTTCAAGCATGAACTGCTCGTTTCAAGTCCTGCCACAACATCTCAATTGGGATTAGGTCTGGACTTTGACTAGGCCATTCCAAAACATCCAATTTGTTGCTTTTGAGCAATTTTCATGTAGACTTGATTGTGTGTTTTGGATCATTGTCTTGCTGCATGACCCAGCTGCGCTTCAGCTTCAGCTCACAGACGGATGGTCTGACATTCTCCTGTAGAATTCTCTGATACAGAGCAGAATTCATGGTTCCTTCTATTAAGGCAAGTCGTCCAGGTCCTGAGGCAGCAAAGCATCCCCAAACCATCACACCACCACTACCATGCTTGACCTTTGGTATGATGTTCTTACTGTGGAATGCAGAGTTTGGTTGTCCTTCTGGAAGGTTATCCTATCTCCACAGAAGGACACTGGAGCTCTGTCAGCGTGACCATCGGGTTCTTGGTCACCTCCCTGACCAATGCCCTTCTCCCCCCGATTGCTCAGTTTGGCCGGGCAGCCAGCTCTAGGACGAGTCTTGGTGGTTCCAAACTTTAAGAATGATGGAAGCCACTATGTTCTTGGGGACCTTCAATGCTGCCAAAAACACAACCTCGACACAATCCTGCCTCGGAGCGCTACGGACAATTCCTTCGACCTCATGGCTTGGTTTTTGCTTTGACATGCAGTGTCAACTGTGGGACCTTGTATAGACAGGTGTGTGCCTTTCCAAATCATGTCCAATCAATTGAATTTACCAAGTTGTAGAAACATCTCAAGGATGATCAGTGGAAACAGGATGCACCTGAGCTAAATGTAGAGTCTCATGGCAAAGGGTCTGAATACTTATGTAAATAAGGTACGCTTTGTCATTATGGGGTATTGTGTGTAGATTGATGGGGAAAATGTTTTATTTAATCTATTTTACAATAAGGCTATAACGTAACAAAATGTGGAAAAAGTCAAGGGGTTTGAATACTTTCCGAATGCACTGTACATAATATATTACCTCAATTCCCTCAACTACCTTGTACCCCTGCACATTGACTCGGTACTGGTACTCCTTGTATATATTCGGAGCGTATGACCAATACAGTTTGATTTGATGTCTTTTGCCAAATCATGAATAAACATAACAGAGTCAGTGATAAGGCGTCTCCTTGTTTTACACCTTAGGGTGTGGGAAACCAATCTGTACCATATTCATTACCATTTAGGTCATTTAGCGGGAGCTCTTGTCCTTATCAACTTACAGTCAGTGCATTCAACCAAGGTTGATAAAAAAAAACATCACAGTCAAAGCAAGTAAAAACATTCTGTAACTATTACTGAAAATGTTGTTGTAGCAAAGGATACATTGGTCTTCAAAATAATTGTAATTACAACAATATATCTTATGATATCTCTGACCATCACTGGATGGTGCCAATACAATACTGAGATATTCATGGTAACTTGACGCCAGAGGAATGAAACACAGTTCAATACAGTAAAAGTGACTACTAAACTGTAAGAAAATTATTTATACATTATTTTACTGTAATTACAAGGGATTAGAGAAAGCAGGTTGTCTGTAGGCATTTGCATATTAATAAATACTAGGTGTTTTATATCACTTGCACTTCTAGAGGCCTAAACAAAGACTTCTAAACTGGACGATTACAGGGCAAAACAGATCAAATGGATAGGGGTAAATATTCAAACATTAAACCAATTAAGACCCACTACCAGTCTGATCTGTTCCCTATATACATTTAATTGTTATGGAACTACCACCACATATCACATAAATTGATACAGGACTCTTAACTAATGGCTGCTAAAAATATAACCTCTTACAAGACACACCTCAAAATATGTTAATGAGTGAGAAACAACAATACCATGCACCCACTAGTGTTCAAAAGGTTTTTGGCCCTCCAAAACTGCAGTATGGTACTATAATCGTAATTACAGTCACTTACTGGCAACAATTGGCCAGTAAGTTACTGTAGAGTTTTAGGAAAAGGTTTGTAGAATTCCTAAAATACAGTATATTACCGTATTCTGTGGGGAATACAGCATTCTCACTCATGGGTGCAACAAATATAGCCTCTTACAAGACACGCCTTAAAATATGTTAATGTTTTTCCATTGGTGACTGTAATGTAATGAGTTGAGAGGCCAGGTATATTGGGTCTTGTAAATGTCTGTTTACCTGTCCTGGTATGGAGCTATGTGATCTCCAGTAAATGTCTTTCTGAAGGCTGAATGGAGTTCTAACTGAATGAAGTGTTAACTGACAGGTTCTCTTTCCACTGCAGTTTGTTTTGTTTCCCTTCTTCCTTTCTCACAGTGAGTCATCTTGTTTTACTGAGGAAAATAGCCATTTATTAACCGGAAAACAGATCTTCAGTCTTCATGAAAATGTGGCCAATGAAGGAAAAGAGAGGCAGATATTTTTCGTGATGTGATTATAGTGCCAACATTAGATTAGATGCTAATGTAAGGAAATGAGGTGTATAGAATGGTGATACGGGTGCAGGACAGGACTTCCTTCTGCAAGTAATTATTCTGAAATTGTAAAACTGAGCGACTGTAAAAAAGAAAAAGAATAAACGTCATTTGGGATGCACACAAAGAACGACTTCATTATTTTGTTTGGATCAATCTTCTGGGACTGTAGCAGTGCTTTCTGGCAAACATGCCTTGTAATGTGGTGATTGAAGAGAGTTCTAGCACTGAGGACCAAAGCCTTGTTAATGAATACTAAAGTGAGGGAGATAGACTTGGGGCCTCAGAGAGAGAGAGAGAGGGAGAGGGCGAGCGAGGGAAAGACAGAGAGGGAGAGAGAGAGAGAGAGGGCGAGAGAGGGCGAGCGAGGGAAAGACAGAGAGAGAGAGAGAGAGAGAGAGGGCGAGCGAGAGAAAGACTAAAGAGGTAGAGAGAGAGAGAGAGAGAGAGAGAGAGAGAGAGAGGGAGGGAAAGAGAGAGGGCGAGCAAGAGAAAGACTAAAGAGGTAGAGAGAGAGAGAGAGAGAGAGAGAGAAAGAGAGAGAGAGAGAGGGAGAGGGCGAGCGAGAGAGAGAGAGAGAGAGGGAAAGAGAGAGGGCGAGCAAGAGAAAGACAGAGGTAGAGAGAGAGAGACAGAGAGAGAGAGAGAGAGGGAGGGAAAGTAAGAAAGACAGAGGTAGAAAGAGAGAGGGGGTAAGAGAGAGAAAGACAGAAGTAGAGAGAGAGAGATGTTGAACATGAGCTCTGTTAACATGCCTGCATGCAATCAGTCTACAGGCTATGCAAACACCTGCGTATCGTTGGAGAGCACAGCTGAGCTGACACACTGCAGTCTGCATCAACAACTACAGCCACAACAGCCCAGACTGAGGGGGGTGGGGCTCAGTTAGAATCGAGTTTAATAGTCTCCTCCATGGAGAGATGGAAAGCTTCACATATGGAGTTGAAGAAGTAAAGCAGGGAGTGGATCAGCTCTCCTTTCAGTTTATCTTTCATCCCTTTTGAAGACAGACATTCCCCCCCGACGTTCTCTCCCTGTCTCTGGCTTCACCACACATATGCGCGCGCACGCACACATTTTCTGTGAGTTGTATTCGTGCCGTTCTTTCCTGTAACTTCATAATAATTAATAATAATAAATAATAATAATAATAATAATAATAATAGTGTGAGTTGTATTTGCGCAGTTCTTTCCTGTACCTTCAGCGGTGCAGAGAGTGCAATATACTTGATGTAGTCATGCATGGAATGGAATTTAATTGAAATGCACCCACCTGGTTTCATCGATATAGACTGCCTCTAGAACAGAGGCTGCATACTCTATATTCTTCCTCAGGTCCACCACGTTCACTTCTCCCTTGTCCAGCTGCTTCACCAGGCATCTCAATCTGCAAAGAGCAAGGTGGATTCACATTTCATCTTCATATATGAGCTGATGAACACTGGATAATACGTACAGTATGGAGAAGAGTATGTCAATACAACTCAATAGTGCCATTACATTATGTGTCAAATAGTCCACTTATTCTATAGGCCTACATCAGATTCTATATCAACTGACAGTCGGCTTTAATACTAGCCTATATGACACTGTCACGCCCTGGCTCTGGGGACTCTTATATGTTGAGCCAGGGTGTGTAGGGTCTATGTTTTGTGTTCTATGTTCTGTTTCTAGTTCATGTGTTTTCTAGGTTGGCCGGGGTGGTTCTCAATCAGAGGCAACGAGAATCAGCTGTTGCTTGTTGTCTCTGATTGGGAACCATTCTTAGGCAGCCTGTTGTGCACTTGTGTTTTGTGGGATCTTGTTCCGTGTTGGTTTGTGTTCATGACCGAGGACTTCACGTTTCGTTTTGTTGTTTTGTATTTTGTATCGTGTTGCTAGTACTCTATTAAAGAAGATGTACGCATATCACGCTGCGCCTTGGTCTACTCATTATGACGATCGTGACAGAAGATCCCACCCATACAGGACCAAGCAGCGTGTCCAGGAGCAAACGCCGGAGGTAACGTTAGTGGATGTCCTCCTCGGTTGGGGGCAGATCACGGAGGAGGAGGCCGTCCGTTACCGGAGGGCGATGAAGGGGGAGACCCAGGCAGGAGAGGAGAAGCGGCGCCAACCGGGCCGTCGTCGGACAGGCGAGAGGCACCCCCAATAATATTTTTTGGGGGGGCACACGGCATGGACGACGGGGCTGCTGGAGGCAGATAAAGGGCGAGTTTGTGGACGAGGAGAGAAGGCCACCAGCTTACAGGGGCCATTGGTCAGTAGAGGGAAGGAGAGTGTAGAGGCACGGCGAGAGGTAGAGGTGTGTTACCAGTCCGGTCCGGCCCGTTCCTGATCCCCACACAAGGCCAGTGGTGTGTGTTCCCAGCCCGGCCCGGCCTGTTCCTGCCCCTCGCACCAAGCCTGTGGTGCGCGTCGCTAGCCCGGCCCGGCCTGTTCCTGCCCCTCGCACCAAGCCTGTGGTGCGCGTCGCCAGCCCGGTCCGGCCTGTTCCTGCTCCCCGCACCAAGCCAAAGGTGCGCGTCGCCAGCCCGGCCCGGCCCGTTCCTGCTCCCCGCACCAAGCCAATGGTGCGCGTCGCCAACCCGGCCCGGCCTGTTCCTGCTCCCCGCACCAAGCCTATGGTGCGCGTCGTCAGCCCGGCCTGTTCCTGCTCCCCGCACCAAGCCAGTGGTGCGCTTCGTCAGCCCGGTCCGGCCCATTCCTGCTCCCCGCACCAAGCAAATGGTGCGCGTCGTCAGCCCGGCCCGGCCTGTTCCTGCTCCCCGCACCAAGCCAGTGGTGCGCTTCGTCAGCCCGGTCCGTCCCATTCCTGCTCCCCGCACCAAGCCTGTGGTGCGCGTTGCCAGCCCGGTCCGGCCCGTCCCTGCTCCCCGCACCAAGCCTGTGGTGCGCGTCGTCAGTCCGGCACAGCCCGTGCCTGTTTCACCGGTGCCTGGTCAGGTACCGGTCAGCTGCTCCACACCGGAGCCTAAGCAATCCGCTCCACCGATGTCCAGTCCAGCTCCAGTCAGCGGGGCCAGACCAGACCAGCGGCGCTACGGGGGGGTTGTTAGAGGGTGGTGGTCACGCCCGGAGCCGGATCCGCCTCCGAGGCGGAATGCCCACCCGGCCCCTCCCCTGTTGGGTACTGTCACGCCCTGGCTCTGGGGACTCTTATATGTTGAGCCAGGGTGTGTAGGGTCTATGTTTTGTGTTCTATGTTCTGTTTCTAGTTCATGTGTTTTCTAAGTTGGCCGGGGTGGTTCTCAATCAGAGGCAACGAGAATCAGCTGTTGCTTGTTGTCTCTGATTGGGAACCATTCTTAGGCAGCCTGTTGTGCACTTGTGTTTTGTGGGATCTTGTTCCGTGTTGGTTTGTGTTCATGACCGAGGACTTCACGTTTCGTTTTGTTGTTTTGTATTTTGTATCGTGTTGCTAGTACTCTATTAAAGAAGATGTACGCATATCACGCTGCGCCTTGGTCTACTCATTATGACGATCGTGACAGACACTGGGTTAGGTAAAAGACCAATGGTGTGAATTTGAGACAGTATAAATATTACAGTCATTTATCTGTTATATTGTGCAGACAGCAGCAGTAGTAAAACAGGTCAGCCATGACAGACATTTGATAATAATGAATACTCTACCACATAATCCAATCAAATCATTCTATTTTAGATGGTTCAGCACAGAATCACATTGTCTAACTTTACAATGCAAGGCCAACAACTAAATCTTTCAGTATGTACACTGACATTTTAGAGAAAACACACAAAGCCAATGTCCTTGAAACTGCCATTAACGTTCTGCAAGGGAAGCAGTTCTCATAATCCTGCAGTATTTCAAGGACTAAACTAATATCTGTTTTTTTATTCATGAACTGCAAAGGCACAGAAGGCAGAGAGGGAAAGTGTATTTACTGTAAGTAGGAAGAACAGTCAGGATCACTCATCCAGCCACAGCAGAAAATATCTGGGCTGGTGTGTGTGTGTCTGCCTGTGTGTGTGTCTCTCCCAGTGTGTGTGTGTGTGAAACCATCCAAAGAACTAGCACCATTGAACTCCGCCGACCGTCTGATCAACAAAGCCCAGAAAGAGAGTGGCGTCTGTGAAGCCTTTGGTTCTGCTCGCATACATCTTTAAATATTTACCACGGGACTAGTGCCTCATTAAAAACAACAGGGGATTGACACAGAGCCATGCCTCGCCTCATTGGGCACACACAGTCTCCAAAACTCAGACCCACAACTAACCAACAAACCAACCCTCAGCAAAATGACTTAGGGTATGTCCCAAATGGCACCCTACTCCCCATATAGTGCACTGTATAGGGAATAGGCTGCCATTTGGGACACAGCCTAACATCCCATAAGAGGAGCATCACCATACCCTATCTGTTTTCAATCTGAGATCAAATCAACTCCTTCCAGTCTGTTTTAAGGACACTGTTATTATGTGAATAATAGTGGAGGATTCAGAACCAATAGACATGTGGTTTATAATAACACATCATCCTAAAACACAAGCTGTTAAAAGTATTGAGCAACAGGATCAACTGACTGAAAGCCAGAATACTGTACAGAAAACACACACACACAAAATAGTACAGAAAACAACCCATGTTTCTGCCTACAACGTGGGCAGGGGAACACCATCTCTGGTACAAAGTGAACAGAATGTACCCTACATGTAGTGGAGAGACTGTGATAAGCCTTGGACTTCATCCTGCCTTTACTGCCGGCTTATTTTCCTTTTCTAGTCCTTCTTCTTCCTTCCTTCTTTTTAGTCCTTCCTTCTTCTTATGTCTTCAAAGGGGGAACTGTAGGATACCACTCTGCCAATGTAGATGAGTGAGCCAAGTGCCAAGCCTACACTGTTCTATTATGTTGAGATTTAATTGAAGCTCTGACTGACTACCATTGTCAAACTGCCAGCCCCAGCACTGGCTTGTTCTGTAGTCTAAAACAAGACAAACACCTACGAGAGGCTCAGCCTACATTGATGTGTTGGAGATCGTAAATAATAGTGACACCTGTTGCACCTAATAATGGTCTGTAATATCAAAATATTTCAATACATGACTCTAGTGAGGATGCCTAAAGTAAACATTTGCCTTGCATAATCAAGCTGCAGAGAGCTATCTCTTCCACATTGTCAACTGCCTGTGTTATTACATCTACACTCTTAGAAAAAAAGGTGCTAAGTAGAACCATCTAGGGTTCATCGGTTTGTCCGATAGGGGAACCCTTTTTGTTGATAGATAGAACCCTTTGCAGAGGGTTCTACCTATAACCCTCTATGTAGGGTTCTTCATAGAACCCCCTGTATATGGTTCTACCTAGAACCATCTACAAAGGGTTCTGTTTAGAACCCTCTATGAAAGATTCTACCCAGGACTCTTATCTTTGGAGAGTTCTTCCTAGAACCCTCTATGAACAGTTCCACCAGCCTTATTATCCTTTAAAATGTATTTCTTTATGACAATACATTACATACAGTATATCATAAGGCCTTACTTTGAGGGCCTAGTTATAGTTGAAGTTGGAAGTTTACATACACTTAGGTTGGAGACATTAAAACTTGTTTTTCAACCACTCCACAAATTTCTTGTTAACAAACTATAGTTTTGGCAAGTCGGTTAGGACATCTACTTTGTGCATGACACAAGTAATTTTTCCAACAATTGTTTACAGACAGATTATTTCACTTATAATTCACTGTATCACAATTCCAGTGGGTCAGAAGTTTATATACACTAAGTTTATATACACTGTGCCTTTAAACAGCTTGGAAAATTCCAGAAAATTATGTCATGCTTTAGAAGCTTCTGATAGGCTAATTGACATCATTTGAGTCAATTGCAGGTGTACCTGTGAATCTATTTCAAGGCCTACCTTCAAACTCAGTGCCTCTTTGCTTGACATCATGGGAAAATCAAAAGAAATCAGCCAAGACCTCAGAAAAATAATTGTACATTTTAGCAGACGCTCTTATCCAGAGCGACTTACATGAGCAATTAGGGTTAAGTGCCTTGCTTAAGGGCACATCGACAGATTTTTCACCTAGTCGGCTCGGGGATTGGAACCAGCGACCTTTCGGTTACTGGCACTACACTCTTACCCACTAAGCTACCTGCCGCCCTATAGACCTCCACAAGTCTGGTTCATCCTTGGGAGCAATTTTCAAATGCCTGAAGGTACCACGTTCATCTGTACAAACACCATGGGACCACACAGCCGTATTACAGCTCAGGAAAGAGACGCGTTCTGTCTCCTAGAGATGAACGTACTTTGGTGCGAAAAGTGCAAATCAATTCCAGAACAACAGCAAAGGACCTTGTGAAGATGCTGGAGGAAACAGGTACAAAAGTATCTATATCCACAGTAAAACGAGTCCTATATCGACATAACCTGAAAGGCCGCTCAGCAAGGAAGAAGCCACTGCTCCAAAACCACCATAAAAAAGACAGATTACGGTTTGCAGCTGCACATAGGGACAAAGATCGTACTTTTTGGAGAAATGTCCTATGGTTTGATGAAAGAAAAATATAACTGTTTGGCCATAATGACCATCGTTATGTTTGGAGGAAAAAGGGGATGCTTTCAAGCCGAAGAACACCATCCCAACCGTGAAGCACGGGGGTGGCAGCATCATCCTGTGGGGGTGCTTTGCTGCAGGAGGGACTGGTGCACTTCACAAAATAGATGGCATCATGAGGAAGGAAAATTATGTGAATATATTGAAGCAACATCTCAAGACATCAGTCAGGAAGTTAAAGCTTGGTCGCAAATGGGTCTTCCAAATGGACAATGACCCCAAGCATACTTCCAAAGTTGTGCCAAAATGTCTTAAGGACAACAAAGTCAAGGTATTGGAGTGGCCATCACAAAGCCCTGACCTCAATCCTATAGAAAATAAAATACACCAGCTCTGTCAGGAGGAATGGGCCAAAATTCACCCAACTTATTGTGGGAAGCTTGTGGAAGGCTACCCGAAGAGTTTGACCCAAGTTAAACAATTGAAAGGCAATGCTACCAAATACTAATTGAGTGTATGTAAACTTCTGACCCACTGGGAATGTGATGAAATATTATTATTATTATTTTTTTATTCTTAAAATAAAGTGGTGATCCTAACTGACCTAAGACAGGAAAAAAAACACACAAAAAAACTGTGTTTAAATGTATTTGGCTAAGGTGTATGTAAACTTCCGACTTCAACTGTATATCCTAACACAGTGGTGTTGGGAAACTCCTGGTGTACAGGCCACGTCAGGCCTGCAAGTCACATTATACTAGCTTGCAATGAGTTACGATATCCAACAAGTGGAATTTTTTAATCACCCGCAACCTGCATTCAGAATGACTGCCAGGGTAGGGAAAAATGAATACTGAGACTACCTCAATCATCTAAACTGGAACAACCATCTCAGTAACGGGTGCAATAAGTCCAACTACTAAATTATTGGATTAGTTTAGAAAATGTTATGCTATTTATCTTTGTGTAGCATAACATTTATTAACCAATCAATGCAAAAACACAGATATTAAAACAAACAATTCTGAAAATGACCCTGCAATAGCGCATGCTGGGAAATATGATATATGGTTCTACGTAGAACCCTTCTTGCCTTCCAAAGAATCATCAAAGAAACCTTTCTTCCGAAAACGGTTCTTAAGATGTTAAAGGTTCTAGGTAGAACCCTTTGCCTTAGAAAAAACCTGTCTTCCAAAAAGGGTTCTTCAGATCAAAACGGTTCTTGGTAGAACCAAATCCCTCCGCAAATAACCCTTTTGGAACCCTTTTTTTCTAAGAGTGTACTGTGATATTTAGACTGATATAGTGTATCTGGTACACTTAGGATGAAAGTGAGATGCAGCCAGGGTGAGAGTTGGCAACAGCCCCTAAAAACTACCGCCTCCCCAGCTCACTTATCACACAGACACTCAGCAGCAGCAGGCTCCCACAGACCTTTTTGTATTCAAAAAGTGTCTCAGAGTAGGAGTGCTGATCTAGGGCAGGTCCCCCCTGTCCATGTAATCTTACTTATTATGATTTAAAGGCCAAACTGCTCCTATTTCAGCACACCTACTTGGAAACTCTTTGTGAATAGGTCACAAACACCACGTTTAGGCCACAGTTTGAAACCACAGAAATAGTTAATGGGTAATGGGTTGGGGAGTAACAACAGGGCTGTTCCCACCCACAGTGTTTCAATCCGTAGCTTTATCAATCATATGACCTTTTCCTCTGTCACGCTCCATGGCACTGGCCTGATGGCTTCCATCTCACACACACTGGACCAGACCAATCACACAGCAGACACAGTACCAGTCAAATGTTTGGACACACCTACTCATTCAAGGGATTTTCTTTATTTTTACAATTTTCTACATTGTATAATAATAGTGAAGACATCAAAACTATGAAATTGCCTTGATGACAGCTTTGTACACTCTTGGCATTCTCTCAACCAGCTTCACCTGTAATGCTTTTCCAACAGTCTTGAAGGAGTTCCCACATATGCTGAGCACTTGTTGGCTGCTTTTCCTTCACTCTGCCGTCCGACTCATCCCAAACCATCTCAATTGGGTTGAGGTCGGGGGATTGTGGAGGCCAGGTCATCTGATGCAGCACTGCATCACTCTCCTTCTTGGTAAAATAGCCTGGAGGTGTGTTGGGTCATTGTCCTGTTGAAAAACAAATGATAGTCCCACTAAGCCCAAACCAAATGGGATGGCGTATCGCTGCAGAATGCTGTGGTAGCCATGCTGGTTACGTGTGCCTTGAATTCTAAATAAATCACAGACAGTGTCACCAGCAAAGCACCCCCACACCATAACACCTCCTCCTCCATGCTTCATGGTGGGAACTACACATGCGGAGATCATCCGGTCACCCACACTGCGTCTCACAAAGACACAGCGGTTTTAACCAAAAATCTCCAATTTGGACTCCAGACCAAAGGACAAATTTCCACCGGTCTAATGTCCATTGCTCGTGTTTCTTGGCCCAAGCAGGTCTCTTCTTCTTATTGGTGTCCTTTAGTAGTGGTCTCTTTGCAGCAATTCGACCATGAAGGCCTGATTCACACAGTCCCCTCTGAACAGTTGATGTTGAGATGCATACTCCTCTGTAGCTCAGCTGGTAGAGCATGGCGCTTGTAACGCCAGGGTAGTGGGTTCGATCCCCGGGACCACCCATATGTAAAAATGTATGCACACATGACTGTAAGTCGCTTTGGATAAAAGCGTCTGCTAAATGGCATATTATATTATTATTATTATAGATGTGTCTGCTACTTGAACTCTGTGAAGCATTTATTTGGGCTGCAATTTCTGAGGCTGGTAATTCTAATGAACTTATCCTCTGCAGCAGAGGTAACTCTGGGTCTTCCATTCCTGTGGCGGTCCTCATGAGAGCCCGTTTCATCATAGCGTTTGATGGTTTCTGCGACTGCACTTGAAGAAACTTTCAAAGTTCTTGAAATGTTCAGTATTGACTGACCTTCATGTCTTAAAGTAATTTTTTTTCATGTTTTTTCTCTTTGCTTATTTGAGCTGTTCTTGCCATAATATGAACTTGGTCTTTTACCAAATAGGGCTATCTTCTGTATACCCCCCCTACTTTTTCACAACACAACTGATTGGCTCAAACGCATTAAGAAGGAAAGAAATTCCACAAATTAACTTTTAACAAGGCACACCTGTTAATTGAAATGCATTCCTGGTTGAGAGAATGCCAAGCGTGTGCAAAGCTGTCATCAAGGCAAAGGGTGGCTGTTTGAAGAATATCAAATACAAAATATATTGTCATTTGTTTAACACTTTTTTGGTTACTACATGATTCCATATGTGTTATTTCATAGTTTTGATGTCTTCACTATTATTCTACAATGTAAAAAATCGTAAAAATAAAGAAAAACCCTTGAATGAGTAGGTGTGTCCAAACTTTTGACTGGTACTGTACATATACATAGAGGCCCTGATTGGTGGATCTATCTGGGTCACAATAACACAACCTTGCCTTTGGAAGTAGTAAACTAAAATTATTCTCGCTTTCATGAGACTTCAGCATGTTTCGGTAGCCTATATGTTGGCATATTGACATAAGATTCGGACGAAAGTGGCAGTATATCAATAGCTGAAACACCACATAAGTAGCAGCAGTATTGAGATTAAGGGACTAAAGACAGGTCAAATGCATGTTACAGCAAGTTCAGTTGTATAAGTCATATCTTTCTCAACAACTGGGTTGCTTATCTGAGTTCACATGAGCTCTGGCAATCTTTGTTTGACATTTGGAAGGGAGAGCTTAGGACATTTGGAAGTCTCTCAGATGACGCAGTACAGTCTGATTTTTTTAAACACTCAGATAGGGTCCATCCCAAATGACACCATATTCCCTACATAATGCACTACATTTGACCACAGCCCTATGGGCCCTGGTCAAATCTCCACTCAAGTCGATCCTGGTAGTTTTGAGTCTTTCACCCAGGTGTCCTGCAACCTGGAGCATTGAGGCTTGAGGTAGTGTGTCCCTGAGGAGGGCGTCCCAGAACAGGGATCTCCACTCTGGGGCTAGGTCTAAAATCAGACATCCCCTCCCCCCTTTGGGTTGTGAAGGCAGTATAGTTTCACATAATACCTATTTTAACTGACCCTGGCTCATTTGAACTTGGTCCATTTTCATTCTTTAAAAACCCCACACAGGTCCCCTGCCTTCACAACCCAAAGGGGGGAGGGGATGTCTGATTTTAGCTTCATCCGACTGGACATGTCAGACCTAGCCCCAGAGTGGAGATCCTTGTTATGGGACGTCCCTCCTCAGGGACACACTACCTCCAGCCTTAATGCTCCAGGTGGCAGGACACATGGGTGAAAGACTCAAAACTACCAGGATCGACTTGAGTGGAGATATCTGCTTTTGGACTCCCTCCTTAGGGACACATTACCTCCAGCCTCATTCAAAACAACCGGGACTGGCCAGCCTTTACATAGTATAGAATCTACACTCTACAGAGAGTTCTGCCTATCAGATGACACCCCTTATTTATACAGTCATTGGATGACAACATCAGGCCTTTTGATAGAGAATGTGGCTCCATTTCCTCCAGTGAAAACGAATGAAGTGATGGTAACAGGAGCAGTTCAACGGGGGGAGGGGTGGTGCTGGTGCTGGGAGTGGTGGTGACATTGAAAAGGGGTTTACGAGAGAGCATTTTCCCATGAGTTAGCTGTGCCCTTCTACTTGGAGGGGGCTACTGCCGTCCCTAGAGCCCCAGAGGACATGGTGACAGTGCTGGGGCCCCAGAGGGCACGGTGACAGGGCTGGGGCCCCAGAGGGCACGGTGACAGGGCTGGGGCTGGGGCTGGAGCACCCTGCTCTGCTCTGCTGCCTGCTCTGCCAACCTCTCAGACAGTCTGATCCAACATTCCTCACCCCTAAAGATGGCACTCAGAGGGCTACTTTGCGACCCGATAATGGCCCATTTCCAAGAAACAGCGGAGGATGATTACCTCTCTGGAAATAAAAGATTCCCTTTCAAGTATGAAAAAAGAAAAAGGGGCCAGGCTATTGGCAGCATGTTATCTGACTGTGAACTAGACTGGTTTTGTTCATCATTTACAGTGCCTTGCAAAAGTATTCATCCCCCTTCGCGTTTTTCCTATTTTGTTGCATTACAACCTTTAATTTAAATTGGTTTTTATTTGGATTTCATGTAATGCCAATACACCAAATAGTCCAAATTGGTGTGAAGTGAAATGAAAAAATTAACTTGTTTAAAAAATTTCTAAAAAATAAATATCGGAAAAGTGGTGCGTGCATATTTATTCACCCCCTTTGCTATGAAGCCCCTAAATAAGATCTGGTGCAACCAATTACCTTCAGAAGTCACATAATTAGTTAAATATAGTCCACCTGTGTGCAGTCTAAGTGTCACATGATCTGTCACATGATCTCAGTATATATACACATCTGTTCTGAAAGGCCCCAGAGTCTGCAACACCACTAAGCAAGGGGCACCACCAAGCAAGCGGCACCATGAAGACCAAGGAGCTCTCCAAACAGGTCAGGGACAAAGTTGTGGAGAAGTACAGATCACGGTTGGGTTATAAAAAAATATCAGAAACTTTGAACATCACATGGCACGCCATTAAATCCATTATTAAAAAATGGAAAGAATATGGCACCGCAACAAACCTGCCAAGAGAGGGCCGCCCACCAAAACCCACGTAGCAGGCAAGGAGGGCATTAATCAGAGGCAACAAACCCTGAAGGAGCTGCAAAGCTCCACAGCGGAGATTAGAGTATCTGTCCATAGGACCACTTTAAGCCATACACTCCACAGAGCTGGGCTTTACGGAAGAGTGGCAAGAAAAAAGCCATTGTTTAAAAAAAGAAATAAGCAAACACGTTTGGTGTTCGCCAAAAGACGTGTGAGACTCCCCAAACATATGGAAGAAGGTACTCTGCTCAGATGAGACAAAAATTTAGCTTTTTGGCCATCAAGGAAAACGCTATGTCTGGCGCAAACCCAACACCTCTCATCACCCCAAGAACACCATCCCCACAGTGAACCATGGTGGTGGCAGCATCATGCTGTGGGGATGTTTTTCATCGGCAGGGACTGGGAAACTGGTCAGAATTGAAGGAATGATGGATGGCACTAAATACAGGGAAATTCTTGAGGGAAACCTGTTTCAGTCTTCCAGAGATTTGAGACTGGGACGGAGGTTCACCTTCCAGCAGGACAATGACCCTAAGCATACTGCTTAAGCAACACTCGATTGGTTTAAGGGGAAACATTTAAATGTCTTGGAATGGCCTAGTCAAAGCCCAGACCTCAATCAATTGAGAATCTGTGGTATGACTTAAAGATTGCTGTACACCAGCGGAACCCAACCAACTTGAAGGAGCTGGAGCAGTTTTGCCTTGAAGAATGGGCAAAAACCCCAGTGGCTAGATGTGCCAAGCTTATAGAGACATACCCCAAGAGACTTGCAGCTGTAATTTCTGCAAAAGGTGGCTCTACAAAGTATTGACTTTGGGGGGGTGAATAGTTATGCATGCTCAAGTTCTGTTTTTTTGTCTTATTTCTTGTTTGTTTAACAAACAAAACTATTTTGCATCTTCAAAGTGGTAGGCATGTTGTGTAAATCAAATGATACAAACCCCCCAGAAATCCATTTAAATTCCAGATTGTAAGGCAACAAAATAGGAAAAATGCCAAGGGGGGTGAATACTTTCGCAAGCCACTGTATCTAGACAAATAAACAGGTCTGTACCCTGGTGGTGCATCAGGCATACAGAGGCCAAACAAGAATGCTTTTCATGTTGCCAAGAAATCCTGCTTGTGTCCCAAATGGCACCCTATTCCCTATTTAGTGCACTACTTTTGACCAGGGCCCACTGTGTTTGGGTTGTTGTCTTTAATGGCTCCTCAATAAACTACTTCCCATGCTTTCAGATTGTAATCAACATGGTCTCACAGATCATTAGAAAGCAAATTACGGACTCCTCTTTGAATCTGTGTATTTCTCCAAAGCTCAGCTGTCCCGAGTCTGCACAAAACTGCCAGGAACTAGGATCAATGGAGACACTCAAGTTTTTTAATCCTATATCTCTTGACACATTCATGAAAATAGTCATGTCCTCTAAACCTTCAAGCTGCATACTGGACCCTATTCCAACTAAACTACTGAAAGAGCTACTTCCTGTGCTTGGCCCTCCTATATTGAACATAATAAATGGCTCCCTATCCACTGGATGTGTACCAAACTCACTAAAAGTGGCAGAAATAAAGCCTCTCTTGAAAAAGCCAAACCTTGACCCAGAAAATGTAAAAAAAACTATTGGCCTATATCGAATCTCCCATTCCTCTCAATTTTTTTTCAAAAAGCTGTTGTGCAGCAATGCACTGCCTTCCTGAAGACAAATAATGTATACGAAAAGCTTCCGTCTGGTTTTAGACTCCATCATAGCACTGAGACTGCACTCGTGAAGGTGGTAAATTATATTTTAATGGCGTCAGACCAAGGCTCTGCATCTGTCCTCGTGCTCCTAGACCTTAGTGCTGCTTTGACACCATCGATCACCACATTCTTTTGGAGAGATTGGAAACCTTAAATTGGTCTACACGGACAAGTTCTTGCCTGGTTTAGATCTTATCGGTCGGAAAGATATCAGTTCGTCTCTGTAGATGGTTTGTCCTCTGACAAATCAATTGTTAGTTTCGGTGTTCCTCAAGGTTCCGTTTTAGGACCACTATTGTTTTCACTATATATTTTACCTCTTGGTGATGTCATTCGGAAACGCAATGTTAACTTTCATTGCTATGTGGACGACACACAGCTGTACATTTCGATGAAACATGGTGAAGCCCCAAAATTGCCTACACTGGAAGCCTGTGTTTCAGACATAAGGAAGTGGATGGCGGAACATTTTTCTCTTTTAAACTCTGACAAAACAGAGATGCTAGTTCTAGGTCCCAAGAAACAAAGAGATCTTCTGTTTGATCTGACAATTAATCTTGATGGTTGTACAGTCGTCTAAAAAAAAAACTGTGAAGGAGCTCTCTTTTGACGAACATATCAAGAATATTTCAAGGACAGCTTTTTTCCATCTTCGTAACATTGCAAAAATCTGAAACTTTTTGTCCAAAAATGATGCAGAAAAGCTAATCCATGCTTTTGTCACTTCTATATTAGAATACTGCAATGCTCTACTCTCCGGCTACCCGGATAAAGCACTAAATAAACTTCAGTTAGTGCTAAACACGGCTGCTAGAATCTTGACTAGAACCAAAAGATCTGATCATATTACTGATAAGGCTAGGGCTGATTTCAAGGTTTTACTGCTAACTTACAAAGCATTACATGGACTTGCTCCTACTTATCTCTCCGATTTGGTCCTGCCGTACATACCTACACGTACGCTACAGTCACAAGACGCAGGCCTCCTTATTGTTCCTAGAATAACTAAGCGAACAGTTGGAGGCAAGGCTTTCTCCTATAGAGCTCAATTGTTATGGAATGGTCTGCCTATCCATGTGAGAGACGCAGACTCGGTCTCGACCTTTAAGTCTTTACTGAAGACTCATCTCTTCAGTATGTCTTATGATTGAGTATAGTCTGGCCCAGGGGTGCGAAGTTTAACGGAAAGGCACTTGAGCGACAAATCGCCCTTGCTGTCTCTGCCTGGCCGGTTCCCGTCTCTCCATTGGGATTCTCTGCCTCTGACCCTATTAAGGGGGCTGAGTCACTGGCTTACTGGTGCTTTCCATGCCGTCCCTAGGAGGGGTGCGTCACTTGAGTGGGTTGAGTCACTGACGTGATCTTCCTGTCCGGTTTGTCGCCCCCTCGGGCTCGTGCAGTGGAGGAGCTCTTCGTGGGCTGTACTCATCCTTGTCTCAGGGTAGTAGGTTGGTGGTCTGTTGATATCCCTCTGGTGGTGTGGGGGCTGTGCTTTGGCAAAGTGGGTGGGGTTATATCCTGCCTGGTTGGCCCTGTCCGGGGGTATCGTCGGACGGGGCCACAGTGTCTTACGACCCCCCCTGTCTCAGCCTCCAGTATCTATGCTGCAATAGTCTATGTGCCGGGGGGCTAGGGTCAGTCTGGTATATCTGGTGTTATTCTCCTGTCTTATCTGGTGTCCTGTGTGAATTTAAGTATGCTCCCTCTAATTCTCTCTCTCTCTCTCCCTCTCTCCCTCCCCTCCCGGAGGACCTGAGCCCTAGGACCATGCCTCAGGACTACCTGGCCTGATGACTCCTTGCTGTCCCCAGTCCACCTGGTCTTGCTGCTGCTCCAGTTTCAACTGTTCTGCCTGCAGCTATGGAACCCTGACCTGTTCACTGGACGTGCTACCTTGTCCCAGACCTGCTGTTTTCAACTCTCTCTCTCTACCGCACCTGCTATTTCAACCTCTAAATGCCTGGCTATGAAAAGCCAAGTGACATTTACTCCTGATGTACTGACCTATTGCAACCTCTACAACCAGTGTGATTATTATTTGACCCTGCTGGTCATCTATGAACATCTTGGAGAAAAATCTGGCCTTAATGGCCATGTACTGTTATAATCTCCACCCGGCACAGCCAGAAGGGGACTGGCCACCCCTCAGAGCCTGGTTCCTCTCTAGGTTTCTTCCTAGGTTTCTGCCTTTCTAGGGAGTTTTTCCTAGCCACCGTGCTTCTACATCTGCATTGCTTTCTGTTTGGGGTTTTAGGCTGGGTTTCTGTATAGCACTTTGTGACATCTGCTGATGTAAAAAGGGCTTTATAAATACATTTGATTGATTGATTGATTGATTGATTGATTGATGGCAATAACAATTACATCCCTTTCTGATACTGGCCATTACCAAGACAGAAAATGACTCAATGTGTCATTTAATGTGTTGATCCATTAAAAAAACAGAATAAAAACCAAATACATTCAA